CACTTTACGTCCTTCACACAGGGGAAATATGACACACATTAATTCAAATAACATCAAATTAACTTGCACGCCCTGGCAATATATGAGAGTAAATCTGCACTGGATGCCGACCGTAGAAGTCGACAACGACAGAACGTCCACGCCATTTTGTCATACGCAGGGACGGCAACGTCTGAAAAACAGCGACCACATCCCGCCACCGCCGGAGAACGAGGGATATTCAACGATCGTTATATGCCCACCGTGATGAAGTCTCCTGTCATCTACCGACATCAGAGCTGAACTACATGCCCGTCCGCGCACACTCCACTGCACTGCCGAACGAAATGCTGCCTGAAATACCACTCCACAGATTGTAAATTCATAAGCAGCAACGGGGTTGCTGAACAGTACTTCCGTGACATCTTAGCTCTTAAAAATTACAGGAACTATAAACAAATGAAGGCGAAACACGGTGAAAGCGTCCACTGGTAACCGTACTTTCGGATACGACACTTCTCCTCGTCATACGTCATGTTGGCATGCAGGCACTCAACACGTCACGCGGATTCAGCAGCGACATCTTCCCTGTTTATACAATTCTTGGAACTAAATTTGCAGAAACTGCGACAATTAATCAGGCCAACCAACATCACCTATAGAAAACCAACTACCAAACATCCCCATAACCTAAAAATCTTCGATCATTTATGAAAACACCACCAGAAAGCAGGTAGGATTTCGTAAAATACAGCCCAATGAACTTAGCGCGATGCACTCTTAAACGATTATTCCATACGTCCCCACCGGATTGTACTGCACGACTCTCTAACACACCGACTAACTAAGCCCACTGGTAACCGTACTTACGAACGCGAACTTCCCTTCGTCAGACTTCATTTCGGCACTCAACGCCTAATACGGATGCAACAGCACAAAAACACACAACCAACAAAATTAATCCCGGCAATATTCGCCGAAAACCACTTGTAGCAAAACACACACAATCCATAACTCTCATTGCACTTACCCGTCTTACATAAAGCAATCTCTTCGCTGGCAAGTCAACACTTTTCAATCATGGGACAACTGCTACTGTGCAACTCCCTCTCGGTGATGATCACTAAATATTCCCACTACCTCCTGCTTTGACATTTTTTTTTACAGATTTCCATAGAGAAAAAGCAAAATAATTAATGCGCTGTCAGCACATTTTTAAAGTCTTCTTGGGTCAGAGAACGGACATCCATGATTATCAAAACTGTCCGGTATAGCTATGCCAGAGTTCTTCATCACCACACAGGTTCTCGGTGGGCGCTAGCAACTACATGCCTACAAGATACCATCAACATCTGAGTAAGGACCTCAAGTCAACCCACCACACTTGCTAAACGAGTGAAACTGCAGAGCCCACACTATCTGCTGTGGAACAGATGCAGAATGACTGAGGTTTTGAAGTTCTTCCTGTGGCATTAGCTTGAACTGAGAATGTGAAATGGAATGAAGCTGATTAAAGGGAAAACCACATTCTTTCCAGGAAGAGGAATCACATCTCTGGTGACAAGCTGCGGCCAAAGCCAAGAGTACCTGCAACTTAAAGCCTTACACACACATGACAAACTCTCTCATGCCAACATGTGTCAATGTGTTGGCCACCACACTTTCAACTATCAAAAAGGAAGATGAGGGTTCAAAATAGAAAGTTACTTGTGTATTTCCTACTAGCAAAACAAAATAGAAGACTATACAAAATATGTATTACTCAAGTTTGAACATGTTACTCTTACATGCATATTAACAGCACAGAAGGGTTACACCACTTGCATGGCCATAAAATGAATGACATAATAAATAACAGTGGTCTAACTGATCCAGTCCCATAAAGAGCTGCTTTTTTAAAATTTCTACTCACCGCTGTGAAAACCTCAAATCTTACATTCTTATACATTACTTTTCAAAATGGCAGAGAAACAAAAATGTAAAATGAAATATCTTTGAAATTCAATGTGATTTGTATAAATACTTCTGAGACACAAAACTGTCTCATCAATTACAATATCTCATAAATTGCATGCTGTGTATCAGTGCTTTAACCAAACATAAAGACTTATCATATGTAAATAGGTTATTAAAAACCCAAAGTACAGGGCTGGTGGCCAGACTTTTAACTAATGTGTTATAAGAAAACGTTTACACCTACAAAATTATTAGTGTTAAAATACAGAACAGGTTACTGAAAAAAGAATAAAATGCCCAGTTGTATAGTGCTATATTTTAACAGTATGATGCAAAAAATAAAATGAGCACTCCAAGCCCTGAAATTTTGCTGTCATTCTTTTCTTCTTCACTGAACACACATGGCACCACAAGCATCATCCATCGTTTAGTGTAACAAGTTTCAAGAGAAGACATATGACTGGCTTTCCTCTTGAGCTGGATTGGAGTGGAGGCTGCCATCTACTTATTTCCAACAAATACTGAAGTCAGATGAAATATTTGGTGATCTGATTAGCTAACACATGTTGAAATGATATAGTTAATAGTGGTAGATCCAACGGGTGATAAAAAAATTCTTGGTCCAAGTAAAATAATAGCTACTGGCCAATTTTTCCATGTGCAAACCAAAGTCTAATAATGAGTTTATGAGCTCCTACACATTCATCAGAAATGTCACCTTTTACTGGTGGTTTATGCACAATCGTCAATTTATATATGGTCACCTTTTCGCATTATTGCAGTAAAGATACCTATGACCCTAGCATGTTTGTCACCCCATTCCAATTTGTCTTCCCCCCCCCCCCCCCCCCAGTATTGCTTTATGATTCAGATAGTTTCAGAACAATTAACAACTGACAGCTCATATGCATAGGTAATCAAAAAATATGGATGACGAATTTTTCACGTAAAGTTTATGAGCTCTTTACACCCATTTAACAAGACTTCACTGTCACAAGCATAGCTGTCACCACCTGTGCTGCATTTTGCCTAGCCTTTCCCCTGATGTTAAGTGTACCTATACGTTTTCAGCCGAACTGGCATGTACTGTGCCACGGTAGGAAGTAGTGGTGGGAGGTGGATGGGCAAGAAAGTGAGGAAACATACAATGGTGCCAGATGCAGCATCGGTTTCCAGTGAATGGTTACAACACTACGCAAAGAAGAACGAGAACTGGCAACAATGCAGTGCGGCAGCTGATGCTTCCATCACGCAGTTTCTGAACAGACTGAGGTCTAGCTGCTTACCAACAGACCTTCTTTGCGCTGATTGGTCACTCACAAAGAGCAGAACTCGACTCAGCCGCCAATTTCACAGAAAAATACTATAGACAATGTTTACTTCCCTGGAATGTGTAACTCTTTACTCAAAGAGCACAATGACTCTGTCGACAACTAAATGATCAGATGGATTGTAAAATTTAGCTACTGTCACCGAGCTTACTGGAGAGAGATTTTGTTTTCCTAAGTCTCACATTTCTTGTCAGTCTTGCCTGTTTGATTCATACTGTAGCAAAAATTTTGAAATCTCAGCACATAAAAACTTTACTGTGTTTCATCATTTTGGTGTAAAATGTCATGCAGAACTGCTGGATTAGGTCCATAAACAAGAGAAAAGAAGGTTGTGATCAATGAAGAATTCTTGTTCTCATGAGGTACTTCTTGCATCTTCAAGTCACTGACAACTCAAATAAAAAGATGGATACCAACAGAATTCCAAGAACTGATGCATTATTTTTAATGTTTGCTGCCACAGTATATTCATCAAGCTCATTTTCAGTGTGAGATGAGATTGCTTCATCACAATCAGTCTCCAAAACTAGTTTCCATTAAATTTCTATTCTATTCCACAAACTTCATGCCATCATGAGAGAAGAAAGTCATATTCTTTTCACAGAAACAGTTTTCCAATTGAGTAACTAAAATACATAAGTAAGTTCCTGTCTACATCCTCCCTTACAACCGTTCGCAATCAGCAAACCATAAACACACTAGTCAAGTACTATTTATTCAACATCTCTTTGGTATTCCTTCCGGTTCATATTCTGATGCCACTACATCAGAGCTGAGAAGACCATGACCATAACCATGTGATTGGAACTTAACACTTTCCCTGTCACAACAGCCTTTACAGGTCGATGTTATATAAACAACTCACAGCAGTTAAGCAAAATTGAATTAGTGTCATAACTATTATAAAACGGCTGGAACTAAATGCTTACCTCAGCAGCATACAACTGTGACACATGTCCATTCGGCTGCAACATGCTCAATGTTGACACACAGTTGAAGAAGGTAAAATTGCAAGATATACCATGGTTGCTCATAATAAAGAACACTTCTAAAATTGTATAATCATTAAATTCTTAACCATTTATAATAATGCACCTATACTAAAATGTAATGTACATAAAAAAGGACTGTGCTGCAGAAGTTAGTACAAAGAATACAAAGTTGATATTAGCTTCAACAGACACTCTGACATATAACTTCGTGAACGTGCTCTAATGATTTGAAGTAAAACAATTTTCTATTATAAGCAGGGATGTGTACGTCAAGCAAATACAATTTGAGAACTTAAGAGCATACACTGCAGATACAATTATTACAGCATATAGGCACACACTTATTAATGTCTGAAATTTGTCTCAAATTCTGAACTTGTTACAAAGAAATAAAATCCATCACTAAAGTAACGGTGAACGTCAAAAAAAAAAAAAACAACCCAAGTGAGAGCAAGTTTTTCATATCATTAACCAAAACATTCGTACTTCACACTGCTGTAAATTTTGCAAAGCTGACAAGAATCATCCATGAGCAACTACACCTGCAGCACCTGGTCTCTCTACCTTATCACGAATACGATGTCTTTCTGGAATATACATGGTTTTAAATGTGCAGCATAACAAAAAATATGATTTTTAACAATCAGCACTTATGATGATAGCAGTCTACAGTTGTGCTTACGTGTAGCCATTTGTAGGCCATCTTTATGTTAAAATTTTGAAAGAACTCGTAGTTGATTGTTTTTCCGCAACTGAAGAAATTTACAGAAAAAACAAACAAATTAACGTTTGCTGCTAATGTTGTATGTCATGCCTCCCAATGGTGTTAACGCAGCTCTCCCAGTGCCTTGAAAACAACCACCCACACCTCAAATCCTCCATCGACACCGCAGACGCCACACCTTCCAGCTCCACTGCCCCTTGTGCCTCACCAACACACCAGCCTGCCACTAAGATCTGGCAATCACTAAACTTGAAACGTGAGGCTGACCGTCTGAAAACGTATGAGAAATGGTCGATCTTGTTCATGGACCCACATCCTCTGTCAGCTGCTGGCTTTTACAACACAAACCAGGGTGATGTGGTGCAGTGTGCCTTTTGTGGAGTTCAGGTGGGACACTGGGAGGAAGGAGATGACCCCTTCACAGATCATCAGCACTGGGCCCCATCCTGTGGGTTTGTTAGAGGGATGCCAGTTGGAAACATTCCCATCAATTCCGATGGCCACCGAGTCACAAGAGAGTCGTGGCTATGATGTCTGTGGACCATTCTCGGACTTTAGGCTGAATTCTGGCTCAGAGCGAGCCGTCAGCAGTGGGGTGCATCACAACCTTTTGACACCAGAGGAACTGCAGAAGCATGGCATCAACCAGAGCCGTGGCCCAATGCACCCATCTTACAACACATATGATTCACTAGTACGGTCATATGAGAACTGGTAACGCTCCCTCAAACACAAGCCAGACAAACTGAGTGAAGAAGGGTTCTATTACATGGTTAAGGGAGACCAAACAGTGTGTTTCCACTGCGGTGGAGGACTCCAAGACTGGGAGGAGACGGACAATCTGTGGGTTGAACATGCAGTGTGGTTTCCCAAGTGTAAGTATGTTGTGCTGAACAAGGGGCGGGAATTCATTCAAGAATGTCGTCAGCCAAAGGCAGCCAATGTTCCAGTCCAGGATTTGAAGAATTTGCTGGGAGACATGCAGAAGACAAAGGCATCATCATCATCATCATCAAGTAAGGAGCCCAGCCTGAAAGCATCCGCTGTTCAAGCAAACGGTTCACATGAGAAGGTAATTGATGACGCACGAGTCTGCCAGATTTGCTACGTGGAAGAACGGGGAGTTTTATTCTTACCTTGTGGTCACCTTGTAGCATGTGTGAAATGTGCAGCATCACTTTCAACATGCGCTGTGTGCAGACAACCATTCACTGGCACTGAAAGAGCATTCCTGTCGTGAAAACCTGTACCAGCATTGGGATACCAAATTCACATTAGGGAGTCTAGGTTCACGGGATGTAGTTGGCCTGCAGTGTTGCCAACATGACTTGGCCCTGCTTTCTAAACTGTGTTGATGTCCGCTAGCATCTCCCTCTAAAGTGTGTTCTCGACATTGCAGGCACACGACTCCCGTGGACATTCAGATCAAACTGGCACCAAATTTGTGTCAGTGTAAAGGAATGAGATGTTGTGTTTCGTATTGAGACATGTCAGAATGAATGGTATGTAATGACATTTAAATCTACCAAAGAAAGTTTGTATGGTACAGTTTACATATTGAATTGATGGCTTTGTCCATGGCAGGTAGGTGTCTGTGTGTCTTTGAAAGCTGGTAGTTGTGATATGCACAGTCTCATGCGCGGGGAATGGGCATGTTGGCATGGCAAGACACACCTTGCCACATAGTACAGTGTATTCTGCTATGGGCATTTCTTCCAACTTATGAAAACAGAATACTGCCCTCTGATACTGGATGACTTATGCATTGCTGTCTGAAATTAGGAACTTTGATTGATAAATTGATAATTAATTACAGGTTATGTTGTTCTAAACCATGTAGTACTATGTAGCGTGTAGGAACTCTCTTCGGAGATAGTCCTACTTCAGGTAAGTGAGTGCTCCTGCCTACGCGAACTCCGGGTTCCCCATGACCCGAGGGGTAGCAACCTGCAATGGTCCCTCTACCAGGGTCATGGTAGATGGCATAGGGCAGCAGCTACATCATTACTGGGGCGAGGCTATTGAAGAATGACTTCCCTAAAGGCCCGTCACCAGATATTCACAGGCGACAATCACATACTGATTGTACCGGTTGTGATACTGTGTAGGGTATGACAGGCCTAGGAAGCTGATACCCGAAGCCAAGAAAACATCACTCGAATTGAAAAGGGTAATAGCCGGAAGGGCTTTACCAAGCGGACCTGGCCTCAGGCTGGAAACAGCAATGGATGATGATGATGATGTGACTTATATATACTCATGCTGACAAGATGTTTTATTCTGCATCTTTAAAAGTACCAGTGCACCAGGAATTCAAAACATTCAATGATACAGCTACACAAACCAAGACCAAGGCAACAAAATACTAGAAATTTGATGATTTAGAAATCTAAGATGAAACACTTCGATAGACATTTCTGTGCAAACCTTCACTACCATGGGCTCTCAAATTCATCACTGGCCTAGTTTATATGATTTACATCACTCTTGCTTTGGAAATATATGATTATCCCTTACAGGCACAACTTTTTCTTGAAAATGTGTTCAAGTGTTCTGCTATAACACTGCAAAATTACAACTTTTTTTTAACCTTTCCATTGTACTTAAATAAGCTCACAATGCAATGTAAACAGTAGAGTAAAAATATGGCATTGGTTAAATACAGGGAAAACAGGACATTGCATTAGATTTCTTGAATAAAATTCACCATGGTGAGTATCCTAACCCACATGTTACAACTCAGATCCAGACATCCTTAACTCAAGGTAAATCTGTGTTTGTTTCTGCAATAATCTTACAATTGAGATAGTTTTCAAATTATCAATGAATCAAATTAATTTTGTGAATAATTTTTGTGGGAAAACAACATTGAATTTCTTTCTTACTCTGCTCATCATACACATCCCTTAAGAGTTTATGGTGTGTGACATGACATGAAAGTCCTTCAAGGAAAATCATGTATTAAAAAACTTGTACACAGTCATACAGTACTTCACATAAAACTACTTCACACATCATAGAAACTACCAATAGTAGGAAAAAAAAAATATTTGCGCCTGTTATATGTGATACTACCACTATAAGTCATACATCTTTCAGGAAGAAAATAACATACTTTAAAGACTGTCATTTCTTTTGTTCTATACATAAAATATTGTACCTGTTGATTTTTGTTACAAAAATGGCAATGCAGCTTTACTTATTCTGCTGAGCCTGCTGTCCAGTTCCTGTACCTGGATTACCATAGCTGTAACTGTTCTGCCCATAGCCTTGCCAATTTCCCTGTTGTGGATAACCAGTATATGTCCCATCTGCTCCAGTCTAAACACAGAAAAAATTCATGCACTTCTTTTCCAAAGCACACAGCCACAGCCTTGTGAATTCAGTTAAAACATCAACTATCACACCCAAGAAACAAGGGTAGACTCTGCATACCACTGTATGCACTGCTTAATGTGATGACCACTTATTAAAATGTTTTATGCAATAAGATTAAAATCAAAATAATACACCATGTGAAATGAGGTTTTCACAACCATGAGGATGATGATGGGTAGATGCATCCACTGATGAGTCTACATGGTGCTAAAAACCAGAAGAACATCAAAACACATTACATTTTCACTGCTTATTGGAATCAGGTATTTGATTACGAGTTAAAAACAAAACCCAATTTAGACAAAATTTTGAAACACAAAAACAATTGGCTTCAACATGTTAACAGAATGTAGAGAGACAAACTTCCCAAATAATTAAAAAAACTAGCTCAGTCAGTATAGTGACTAGCTACGGGCTGGACGGCCAGGGTTCGATCCCCGACGGGGGCAGAGGATTTTTCCTCTAGCCTCTGCGTCCAGACTGGCTCTGGGGCCCACCCAGCCTCCTCTACAATGGGTACCAGGGGTAAAGCCGGCCGGGGCGTGATGCTGACCACTCACCCCCATCTAGTGCCGAGGTCAAGGAAGAGAGGAGCTATACCTCCACTCACCCCAAACGCCTACATGGCGTGTAGCGGGACAAACTTTACTTTACTTACAGGATGTGGATGAAGAAACCCTGGAAAACCGCATAAGATACTTTTAGAGTACGAGGCCAGAACGGGTCAATATGACCTAACTCCTCGACTGTTTGATTATGATAACGATGTATTTCATTATAAGAATCAAAAGTTGCCGCAAGTAAGGAAACATCGTCGTCCTTGTCGTCAGGGTACTGAGGTGGTTCATTGGTCAGTACCAACCTCAGCTTGCTACTGCTAGACTATGGATGGTTATATTATGAATGGTGTCAGCATTCATCAGTCTGAAAGCCTCATTTTTGAAAGGATATTATATACGTTGTGAACCATTATAAAACCTTTTTACCCGTTGACTACAAACTTTCAAAATATCAAAGGCATAATTGCAGTACTGTTACCCTGTAATGTGACATGAATAAATTACAATGGACAAAGAGCATGTGACCTCATGGGCTGATACTCAGCAGAGTAGGAGGAAGATGGGTAGACTCTCGTGCAGTCTCTCTGGTGTGCCAAAACAACCTAACCTGACTTGTTGCTGAACCATATCATTTCACTGCAAGTGCAGAGGGATAGTTTGTGTCTTGTATATTTCCATGCACTCTTAAATACTTCTTGCTTCAGCTGAGACATGTTGGTCACCATGCAGCGATAAATTTGAAATGCCAAATGCCAAACCCATGAAGCAATTACCCCCAGAAAGCAATGGAGAAAGGTGGTGCAAATGGTCGTGATTAGACTGTTATTCAGAACCGAAAGGACTTCCAATCAACTCTGGTGATAGTCTACAGAAAACTAGAATGAGTGATTATTTAACCTTACACAAGGTGTGATAGTATCAAGATGTGATCAGTTGCAGAGTTGCAGTTTATCGTCTGTGGATATCAGACGTCCGACACATCACAATACAACCTGATAATAAACATCAAAATGCATACTCCAAATCAAGATGAAGACTGAAAATTAAAAATCTATAAACGCAATGCACAAATGTACAATAGTTTTTAAAAATATATGAATTGATAAGCCTGATGATGATGTGGTAAACATCGAAACATGTCGTCGAAATCAAAAGTGCTGTGATAAATGTAATATTATACGACACAGAAAAGCGCCATAAAATATAACATAATGCAACTTATATTGTAAATGTTATAAATAATTTTAACAACATTATTTTAAAACAAGTTTTGTGTATAGACTGGAAAAATAAATATATGTATTAGTAAAAAACATTCAACTCAAACTAATCATACGTTGTGCACCAATTTTACATTATTCACTACCATGTTTGAACACAGTGCATAATTCACTGTATTTTCTTAGACCTATCCATGTGTGCGCTATTAACCATTCCTTGACCTGTTACTGCCAAGCTCTGAGGTCTAGTGGTAAACACTCCTCCTCCTCATTCAAAGGTCCTGGATTCAAATCTCGGCCCAGAGACCGGCTATCCTGACTGGGGTTTCTCATGGTTTTCCTCCGTCCCACCAAGGAGATACCAGGACAGTACCTTAAATTAGGCCACAACCACTTACTTCCACATCCAATTCATTGTTCACTACCAACCTCTATATAGTCTGAGTTATTGAAAAAGCACTGTTAAATAAACTATAAATAAATAAATTGACCTGTTATCTAGCTTAGGATGATTCAATTACGCAACTTTGCAGGACACCAACTGGTTGCTTTCCTGGGATGTTTACTGGTGCATACCCATGGTATGCACCTTGTCCCC